TCAGAGCTGGGGGATTCTAGGGGGGAGGGAGTCAGAACCAGGGGATTCTAGGGGGTGGGGAGCGTTGCAGAGCTGAGGGAAGCGATTTTGCCCTCTGTCCTGGCAGGGCTGGAAGAAGAAGCCCTCATTTTAAGGGCCTGATCCACTCGTGAAGGGCTCTCCATCCACTTCCATGAACGCTTGGACCGCGCCGTGGGGGGAGATGGGGGCTTGACCCAGTTCACTCACCGCTAGGCTCTCCCTTCCGGCCGAGCAGCTCCCTTGCCAGGCTGGCAGTCCCTGCCGGAGGGCACCCCATCCTTGGCTTGGTCTCTGACGGTACCTCAGCCCGCCGGCTGGCTCCCTGGCTCAGCACCACTCCAGGGGTGTCTTTAAACACCAACAAAAGGCCCTTCCCCATCTCCGGGACTCTGCCCCAGCCCTGGGATGGGCTCAGGGACCCCAGCAGAAGAGCTGCCCCCCTCCATCTCAACCCCCTTCCTTTGGGGCTGGAAGCGGAACCCAGCCTCACTCTGTACTCCGGGCTGTGGCCCAGGGCCGGGCGCTGAACAGCTAGGTCTGTCCCTCTACCGGGGCTGCAGGTCTGTCTGCCCACCTCATGCCCAGTCTCTTCAGTTCCCCCTCAGTCTCTGCACCTTGTCCTGCTTCAGGCAGGGTCTCATTTCCAGCCCTCCTGAGCCTCGGGCCTAGCTCTCAGGCTTTGTCACCTCTTCCCTCAGGGAACGTGGTGGAAAGTACCTGGCTGTCCCCAGGCTCTCCAAGCTGCCATATTACGGGTGTAAACCCCTAGGGCGAGTTAACCAGCTGTTCTAGCCCCGCTGGCCAGAGGCCAGGTCTGCACTACAACCGTGCATTAGTGTAACGGGTGTGAAAAATCCACACCCCCGTGCGACGCAGCGAGACCGACCTACCCCCCAACGTAGGACGTGCTATGCGGACGGAGAGCTTCTGCCTTCTCCCGCGGGCATAGCAGCATCTTCCCCGAAGTGTTTTCAGTGTAGACCCGCCCTGAGCTGCGGTAACAGGAGCCCAGCTAGCCGGACGGTCCCTTCCTGAGCCTCGCTCTCCCCGGCAGGGCTTCCGGAGGGACGCCTACCTGGCGGAGGACCGCCAGGACCTGATAAAGGGCGTGGAGGAGTTTCTGGACTGCAGCATCGTCCTCCCGCCCTGCGAGATCCAGAACGAGCAGTTGCTCCGGAGCCTGGTGCCTATGCAGAAGGAGCTGCTGCGGAAGAGGTACCTGCCGGCCGAGAAGACGCCGGAAATGAAGATCGTAAAGGACTTGGGTATGGCACAGTCTGGAGGCAGCACGTAGGTTCTGGAGAAACCTCTTGTCCTAGCCCCCCTCCCCCCCCACACACACACCCTGGCCTGTGCCCCGCTGGGGATGCCTGGGAGACGGCCCGAACACAAAAGCCATGTTGCGCCAGAGTAGAGCAGAGAAGATTTCTCTACATTCTGCAGAGCAGAGACAGCGCCCTCGGCCACTGCCCCGATGGTCCTGCCGGGCCACCGGAAGGGGGGGAGATGCGTGAATGGGGCCCTCCCGGGCAGCGCTGGGGGTGGTTTCCTGGGGAGCAGCCCAGGCCTGAGGGAGCGTGGATGCTGAGGTGCAATGCAGCTCTGGGTTTAGGTTTGGCCCCTCCATGGGGAGGGCAGGGTGAAGGGGAGCCTGACGCCGAGTGCACGGGGGGGACCCACTTGCAGCCTAGGAGGGGCGGCGCTGGGAGGGCAGGTTTGCAGGATGGTGCTGAGAGAACATGGAGCTCAGCCCCTATTGCTTTGGAGCCCTGGAGGAGCCTGCCAGCAAACACCCTCTCTCAGCCCTGCCCCCTAAGTTTGGGGACTCCGGGGGGGAGCTCAGGAGAGTGAAGACTGAGGCTGAATTTCTCCCTTGCTCCACTCCGGTGTGGGCTTCCCAGTCCCACCGAGCAGGGGGCCATGAATTCTTCAGGAGGTGGGAGGGCATTCTTTGTACCCCCCCCAGGCGTTACCTCCCCCAACCCTGCCCATGGGCGCCTTTGTCCCCCTGCAGATCTGGGCCCCGCAGAGAAGGCCCTGGAGGAGGATGACCCACTGCGGAGGACAGGCCGGCCCTTCGGGGGCCTGGTGCGGGACATCAAGCGCCGCTACCCCAAGTACCTCAGCGATATCAAGGACGCCATCAACGCCCAGTGCCTGGCTGCCGTCATCTTCATTTACTTCGCAGCCCTCTCCCCCGCCATCACCTTCGGGGGCCTGCTGGGTGAGTGGGCCCAAGCTGCTGGCCCCCCCGGGTATCAGGCTGGGTCCATGGGGCCCTGCCCCATAAGGCAGCCCCAGGCTGCCTCTGGAGAGTGAACGGGAGGGGTCGGGGGGTGCTCTGGCCCGTGGGGGTGCCCCGCTCCTCCCTGCTGACCTGCTGCTGTTTCTAGGGGACAAGACGAAAAACATGATAGGGGTCTCGGAGCTGCTGGTCTCCACGGCAGCACAAGGCTTCCTCTTCTGCCTCCTCGGCGCTCAGCCCCTGCTGGTGATCGGCTTCTCGGGGCCCCTGCTGGTCTTTGAAGAAGCCTTTTTTAAGGTCGGTGCCTTGGTTCCCTCCTCTAGTCCTGCATGTGCCCCCTGTTCCCGCCCTCCAGCAGCTTGTCCTGGCCTGTGGCTTTGCAGGGGAAGGCGCCGAAGGTCCAGTTCTCCCCACACAGCCCACAGAGTCCTTCCCGAAGACCAGTTCCTCCAGCACCGGAGGGCTGGGAGACCCCATGGGTCCCACCTCCCTTCTTCATACCCAGCCTGAGGATTGCTCCACCCATCCTTTCCAGCAGGAGGCGCTGTTCCCTCCTTACTGGGGCAGCCCTGCCCCACCACCGGGACTGCAGCAGGAGCCATGAGCCCTTGTGCCCGTGCCAATGGCCATGCTGCTAGGGTCGCAGCACCCCCAGGCGTGGGGAAGGAGGCCAAGACCGGGCCGGTGTTGCCGCAGGATTCCAGGCTGGATGGCAGGAGGCAGGGTGTGGGGTGGGGCGGTGGTGAGGACAATAGTGGTGGGACCAGCATGGACTGGTCTGTCCGGGCTGAGCTGGGGAGCTGGAGGGAAGAGGTGTAGAGGAGGGAGGGGGGATGCTGGGGTGGCCTGGCTGGAGCCTTGAGACCCCAGAGTTTCTCAGACTTGAGCCTGAAGGTTTAATGGGGGGGGGGGGGGGGGGGGTAGCGCTGG